AATAACTAGTAGCTTGCTGACCTTGTCTTCTAGAAATTTGAGAAGTCGGGAAACAAGCTGGGATGACATTTGGGGCATGTTTTTTTTCCTCAAAGTTAAAAATGGCATATACAACTCTTAGCCTTGCACTCAAATCTGGCCTGACTTCCCTCCATGTCTCTGCAGCCTCCTTGCCTGAGTCCAACCTTGCCGTGTGCAGAAGGGAAGGATGCATCTCCTGCGGCAGGCTGCATGTGCAGTGCTCTGCAGGTGGAGGTGACGCACCTCCGAGGCCTGGTTTTACAGTGTCTGGAAGATCAGAAGAAGCTGCAGCAGGAAACCATTCGTCTGAATGCCCAACTCCAGAGGTTCTGTAGGGGGATGGAGGGAATACAGCAGGTGAGCATCTATCACTTGGGTGCATATCCGTTCACCACGCTCCTGTGTAGATTGTGGAGGCTGTGCAGAGGGAAGCAGCTCTTAACAGCCACCTCTCTTAGGGCAGAATGGGAGGCGGGGACTGAACAGCTTGTATGAGCTGCTGATGCTGGCTCTGGTAGTAGCAAAACAGGAATGAAGCCAAGAAGGAGTTTTCTGTGAGGACAGCCCATTCTTTAAAGGACCTGGGATTCTTCTTTATTTCTCCTCATGAGAAGGGATGGGCAGTCAGAGAGTCCCAAATGGCTGTGGAGAATACAAACTGTGGCTTGTATAGCTTCTAGCTTTTTAGCAGCTAGTCCTAGAGCTGCTTGGGCAACTGCTGTGTGTTTTGGCAGGTGGAGGTTCATTCCAAAGGAACACAGACAGCCAAAGAGGAGGTGGAAGTGGATCCGAAACCTGACTTGGATTCAGATTCCTGGTGTCTCCTGGGAACGGACTCGTGCCGCTCCAGCCTCTAGTCTCCTGAGCCCACTGGGATCCATCTAACTTCACAGCACACTAACCGAATGCAGAGAGCGGCTTTCCTGGCTTCAGGTCACTCGCAGACAAGGAGCGAGGCCGGAGGCTCCAGAGCAGCACCCATGTACGTTTGATATGAACTAGGAGTGAGTTTGAGAGGGGAAGGGCTCCTGAGCTCTAGGCCAGCTCAGTGATTGAAGCAGCTGCAGCTCCTCTTTGTACCTAATCTGTCAATTCTACATGTGAGGCAGAACGGCCCCATTATGGCAATGGCTCCAGTAGCAGCTTGTGGCCCTTTCATTGTTTCACTGTTTCCTGGGAGCTGCCTTTGGGACCCCAGTATTCATCACTGCACCTCTAGATGAGAGGAGGAAACGTGTTTTGTACTGAAGCTGGCTGAACCCTAAGACTCGCCACCTTCACTTCAGAGGGGTGAAGGACTAGGATCCTCTCCCTACCGCATGGTAAGGCCCCTCTGGTGAGGCTGCTTCCCTCTGCTCAGGGGCAGAGGGACCAGCGAATGTCTCATTCTGGAGGCAGTGGAAATGTTCCTCTTAGGGAGATAATGGTAGACAGCATGTCCCCTGGCCTCGAGGCACAGCTTCTGGCCACATGGCTGTGTCCACTGGTTGTATAGACAGAGTTTAAAAGGCTTTGTTCTGGGTGCCGAGGGCTTTCCAACTTGCAGGCAATGCACTGAGATGAGTGAATCAGGTGCCGTTTCCCACAGCAGTAGCAGAGACTGCCTGAGGTGGGATCTCTAGTTCTTGGTTTCAGACCATCTGCTTCCCAACCAGATGCCAAGTGTCTGACCCTCAGACTAAGTTACCCATTTTTCGCTCCAGCTGTTCAACTTGGTTTGGGTGCCAGAGTTTCTGGTTTCTTGGCATAAGCCTGTAGCTGCTCCCTGCTTGGCTTCTTTTCTGTTCAGCCCCTGTGCCTATGCTCTGTGTGGGTGTGGGAAGAATCCGTGTTTTTCCACTCAAGTGTTTTGATGAAGCTGGAATGCCATTTCCTACCCAGAATAGGTCATTAATGCAGTGGTCACAGTATGCAGCCTTCCCCAATGACCATGAATGATCAAATCTCTGTCTGGAATTCACCTTCCTTCAAAAAGTGAGAGGCTTTCCCAAGAAAATTTGAGATGGGAAGAGGTATGATCTGATGCTTAAGATTTCTTCATTTTCTGTTAGAGGATGAGGTTAACTTTATTCCCCTTAATTAACTTTCTAGTAAGCTTATGGGATTGGTAGGATTCCTGAGAGCAACTAGCCTCCCCCACCTTACGTGAAGCCTCCAGGGAGTCCTGAGTTCATCTCACCTTTGCTGTGAGAGTGGGGTTGTAATTTCATCAGGCTTGAAAACATCCTCATCAATGGCATGCTTACTAGAATTGCCTTAGGTCTACTGGAGGTGGTTATCCCATCACCTCTGCTAGACTTCTTTCGAGAGACTGTTCTGGGGAATTCAGCATTCCCCATTTGTCTCTGGAGGTGGATACCAAACCATTTGCTTGTAACTTAATGCTCCTTAAATACTTCTTTGGTGCCTATTGCTAGTGAATGGGAGCTGAATCAAGTGCGTTCTCTCCAGTGCAGTGTCCAGGGTGAGGATCGTACCGGTGTGCCTGTCCAGTGCTACCGAAGGCAGGACAGGAGGAGAGGCCTCCTGGGAGGTGTGAGTGTCAGGCACCCTGGTGTGGCCACGGCGCTTGGCTGCCCTTGTGACTCTGCTCTCCTTTCCCCCACGTGCCTTGGAGCCAGTTCTCAGGTCAGGGTCCCGGCTTGAGGGTTGTTGGTCACATTGCAGCAGTGCCTTTGAGGAGTGAAAAGCTGAGCCTGAGCCATGTCAAATAAGCAAGCACCAAGCTGATGGGAGTCGCTCTCCTGCAGTGCACTGCTATCCTCATTTCTCAATGCTCTGCAGTTGGGAAGCTAGGTGCACAGACTGGATTCCCCTTGGATCTAGTGGAGGATTAGGGTTCCTGACAGAGGATGCCCTGTGCTCCGCAATCTCATATGTGCCTTAGAGGATTCACGCTATCCAGGTTGTGCCTGTTACAGACCACGGATTTCACACCAGCCAGCTACGCAACAAAAAAAGCAGTTTAAAGCCAGCACTTTCGTCTCGGGCTAAAAACGGAAAGGCAAGTGGGCAGAAGTGCCTTTGAGCAGTTTCAAACCCTTTTTACTTCTCCCCTTCATGCAGTGCTAGCTCCATATGTGTTGGTCTCCTGCTAGTGTTGCTCCTGAGTTGTTATAGTGGAACACAACTTATGCCTGCTCTTGACACTGGCTGAAAACTAGTTTGTCGTTGTCTTTTTTTGAAAGGTTAAAGGGTGGAGTGGTTTGGAGTTTCTGTTTAAATAAATGTTTAAACTCATACTCCTGTGTTTGGAGTCTTTTTCTTGGAGTTTTCTGTTTTGTTTTTTTTTTTTCCAAGAGAGTAAAGGGAAATATGCATATAGTCAGTTGGCTTCATGGCATTCTGGGATTTATTATTTTCTTTTGCTTATGTAGAAAGAGGGCCAAGGGGCTTGCAGGTTTTTTGCTGTGGGAAAAAAGTCCGTTTCTCTGTCCTTTCATTAAAAGAACCCAACAAACAAACAACAGACCAACTCTTTTCTCATACTGCTGCATCTCCTCCTAGTGACGTCAGGAGCTTTTGTGTGTGCGTGTGTGTGTGTGTGTATGTGTTTATTTCTACAGTTTGAGTGCCAAGTAGGGAAATGAGTAACAGGAAGAGAGGCTCAAAGAGAAGTACCTGTTTTCTCTCAGAACAGCTTCTACTGAGCAGTAAGGCCTACAGAAGAGAAAACCTGCCTGACACCTGCTCAGCCAACTGTTCCTGCACATTGTGTTTAATGCCTGTCACTTTTATCAGGGTTTTTATTAAGTTGTGAAATATCTTGAGAGGCAGAGCAGTGTTGAAGACTTACAGTTCATCAGAGATTTGGATGCTGAAAATGCAACATCTCTGAGAGGGAGATTGTACTGCAGAAGCAGAAGAGGAAGCTAAACTGGCGTGAATAACATAGCATGAGTAGTGTCAGGGTAACTAACCCTGATAGCAAAGCAGCACAGCAAATCTCTGTGCCCAGCCTGATACTTTGGCTAAACTGTTATTAAGTTTTAAACCAATTATCAGAGACTTTCTGGATACTGAAACGATAGCTCAGCACATAGGGGTGAACTGCCCATAGTTAGCTCTGAAATGAAGCCTGGTTATTTAATTTCACTAACTTTTGTTTAATCTACAGTTTCAATCTCAGCATTAGGTGTTTGCCTGTCACTTATGAGAAGTCTCCAACAGATGGATTTATTTTACGACATCAAATACTTGGTGTGTATCCACACATCACCATTTGCACTCTGCTAACCTTTAGAGTCCGCTAAATAGAGTCAATAAAACATAGTGTAAAGTAAACAGTTAACATTACAAGACAGGAAGTGGTGCTGAATTTTTTAACTACTGTGTTCAATTATACCTCTCATGAATTCATGGAGGCTCACATGAAGGTTCTAGTTTACCTCTTTCCTACCTCTTGTCAGCCCTTGCTGTCCTTTCTTTTGAATATCTGAAGTTATTGGCCTTGCTTCTCCGATCAGTTTGGGTACAGCAAATTATTTTCCCTTGTTTAGAGTCTGTTTTTCGTCTCAGGTTTGTACACACATTGCTGGCTGGCACAGTGCAGCACTGACCCTTTCTGGGACCTTCACGTTTCCTAGGGGTGTGCCAAGGGATTGAGATTTCTGCTCACATATATATAAAACAAACGCCCACAAATTCTTTCAGGAGTCAAGTTCACCCATTGAAGACTGGATTGTTTCTGCATATTCAGCTTCTGACTATTCCAGCTTAATCTAATTGCTTTTGATCTTTTTGTAGGTTCCCATGAGCTGCTGCTATGTTACCAGAGTACTTGCAAAAGGAGCTGCTGGAATTTTTTTGTTCCTTGTTTGCTTCTTGTTGCAACTTTCTCATACAAAGTAGTCATTCTTACTTTGAGAACAGACCACTATGTGACCATTTAAAACAACTTTTACACAACAGAACTAGTTTAATATATTTAATAATCTGAATGTAGAAAAATAACATCTTAAGAAGAAAAAAAAGCAGGGTTATGTTTTTGTCTTAATTCCCTACCACTGCAGCAACCAAGATGAAAATAAGCAGATAATTCAAGAAAGGGTGCAAGCTTTGTTTTTTAGAGTTTCCTAGCAATTTGGCCTATTTTTTTTATATTAAATCTAATTATTGACTGTGATGGTTATTCTGTTGCCTCAAGGGCCTGGCTGGTTCAGAGTATCTCCGTTGTTCTATGCACATGAATTGACATATGGACTCAAACAGTAAGTGCTTGCTACTGCTAGCTTTTCTGAACCCTTGAATGTCTGATCCTGAGGTTCTTGTGCTGAGGAAAAGGGCATCCCACAGGGGCAACCCAAGGGCACTGGTCAAAGTACACAAGTTCTGTTATTCTGCTTATACATCCTGAGCTGTTCACTAACTATACACATAAGCTTGCAGCCAGTCTCGAGACTAGGGAAAGCACAAGTGTCTATAGCTGGAAACCTGGCAAAAAACAGGCAGGGAATCACAGCAGCAGGTACAGTTGGGCACTGCCTCAGCAGCGCCTTCTCTGTGGTGGGGGTGGGGGCCTATTCTTTATGGATTTGCATTTGGGAATATGTCTCTCAGCTGCTCGGGGAGCAAACTGGCGTCCACAGTAGGTGCAGGCAACATAGTCTGGGTTTTCCGTGGGAGGCACTGGAGGCAGGTCAGACACCTTCTCTCCCTTAGTGAGGACTTGCTGCAGCTGGCAGGCCTGGCACATGATCTGGATGAGAGCCTCATGCTTCTGTCTCCAGTTGTTCCTTCTGGGTGGTGTCTCACTCTGCAGAAGAGAAAGGCAGTCAGAGTAACTGGGACCACCATCAGCTTCCATTCTCAATCTTGCACTCAGAGCCCAGCCCAGGTCACCTGTTCCTGGGCATTCCTTGTTGATGTAAAACCCTTTTCTGAGAAGCTGAGTCCCATCCAAAGAGGATGTGAAGGAAATACTGACGGAAACAAGAAGACTTAGAAAGAACTTGAAAGTAACCAGAAAAGCAAGTAGTAGGGCCAAGGAAATGGAGAGGGTTGCTATAGCTGCATGTTTCCTCCGTCTTCATTTTAACAGACTGTGTTATTACCTGGGTTTTCATTCAGCTCCCTGCAGCTCCTGATGTCACAGAGCTTTACTGCAGCAGAATTAGTCTGCATCCTAACTACAGCAAGGAGTGAGCTTTTCTCCAGGAGTACATCCTTAACACATTATAAAGACAAGACAGGACTGCCACCTCCATCTATTAGATTTTAAATGGATCTATTTTTCCATTTGCCTTAAATCTTTTAGAGGCAATAGCTGGACTGTATCCCTTAGCCCTGCGTACATGTGAAGGTGCTCATGTCTCACTCAGAATTAGAAGCCGAAAGGGACTGAATGTGAGCAGTAGATGTGCACTGCAAATGGACTGCACATTACCTGAGGACTCCTTGAGCTTTTCCACTGCTGACACTGTTCCATTTCTGTTCCCCTAGCTCTGGCCTTGCTGGAGTCAAACACTTTCCTCTTGGAGACTTGGTTCTTGCCACAGGTACTCATGTGTTTCTCAAGCCTGCGGCAGAGAAACTTACGACTGCAGAAGCTGCACTGTCCAAGCCCCTCCTGCTCCACAGCGCTGGCAGCCTGCACATACAACACCTCTGCAGACAAGTGGTCACCAGAATCTTGGTCTGATAGGGCAGAGGGAGAAGGGCTATGTTTTGGAGCTGGCTTTGAATAAGAAGCTAAATGCTCCATGGGTATGCTGCCTTGCATTTTGCTGTTGTTGACCACCATCTGCTCCTTCCTGAGTTTCCTCACAGCCAGCTCTTGGGGGTGGTGGGTGGTGCCAGGCTTGGGGATAATGGCCTCTGTAGACTGTGCCCCGCTAAGGACCCCACCACCTGGCCTGACTGCAACTCTGAAAGTTTTCTCTTCAGGGTGCCTTGCAGCCTTTCGCTCATGGGTCCTCTCAGCTTCACTGTCTCTTCTCTGCTCCACCTTGATAAGCTCCTTCTCTCTTTGAATCCTCCTAAGCGTCTCCTTTGTTCTCCTTAGTTTCTCTTCAAGAAGGGCCTCTTTCTTTTGAATTGCCTCTTCTAGGTTCTTTCCATCTGTCTCCAACTTTAGGATGTAGGCCAGCTCTCTCCTGTATAGATGGGGGGTTGATGTTTTGGGCTCTACTGTCCAAGGACAGAGTGCTGCAGATTTCCCTGCTGGAGCCTTCCCTTTGCTCACTGAGCTTGATTTACTATTTGGAGTTCCCTGCAGGTATGGGGAACTTCCAAGCTGTGCTGTGCTGACCACTGGAACACTCACACTGTTGTGGTGAGAAATTGGTTTCAGGGGATATGAACGGTCCACTCCTTCTTTCTGTCCATCTACTGATGTAGCTGACAGAGTACAGGCCTGGCTGGTGAGGTGCTTACCCTGCAGTCCAGCTGAACAGAAGCCTCCATGCCTGTATTGAGTGTTTTCTGCTGAAATAGAATATCTTTGGCTATTTTGGGCACAGGGATCCTTCAGACTTTCCTCTTTGTCAGTTATGAGTTCATGCTGAAAGTCGTTCTGCTGGTGTTTTAGTTGGGAACCAGGAACAATCTTAGTAGTTGCCACCACAGGAGCCACAGGTGGAAAAAAAGCCGTTCAGTGCATGAGAAAGAGCCTGAGGTTAGAAGCAAAGCCATTATAGACTACCTTATCCAAAACTTGACAAGTTTTCTCCTAATAGTGTATGCCTGGAGGCTACAGTGAGGAGTTAATAATAAGTATTAGCAAAGGTTGCGTAACTTTTCTGTGTTCTATAAGTCTTTACATTCCTTCCATCTAGGGAGTTCCCATGCTGCCTTTCCCAGTCCCAATCATTCATGCAGCCAGAAATAAGAAACACTTTTATTTCTCTTTCTGCCTGAGCGTTGCCTTATCGTGGTAGCAGCAGAAATATGCCGCACTGACAGAGGAATTTGTCACGCTCCCCGGGATAACATGTCCCTTCAGTCTTGGCATTGCGATCCACCCGCGCGCCACACGGGTCTGACACGCAGGCGTTCGGCCAAGCTCGGCACAATCTTTCCGTGGCTCGTTCTACATCCCACGATGTGTGCCGGGCGCGCACGCCGCGGGCCGAGAGGGGTTACCTGCGGGGCCGCGCCCGGCGCTCCGCCGGCCTCCCTCCTCGGCGAGCTGCGTCGGCCCGAGAGCCCCAGCCTCTGCCGCTGCTGCCGCTGCTGCCCGCGGCTCCCGGCATGGAGCCGAGCCCGGCGCGCTGTCGCCTGGAGACCGGCGCGCAACCCGGGATCGCTCCCCGCCGGGAAAACGCTCCACTGCGGACGGGGGGGCGGTGCCTGTGGGCGCCCCAAATGCATTATTCATGAGGCGGTGTAATGCATTATTCATGATGTGGTGTAATGCATTATTCATGAGGCGGCGAATGAGCGCTCGGCCCGACCCCGAGCCCGCTGTTCATTGGCCGCAGGGCTCAGCGAGGCGTTGCCCGCAGTGCGGCGCGCAGGCGCGGCGGGGCGCGGCGGCGGCAGGAGGCGGCGGAGGAGGTGCCGCCATGGCGGAGGGCGAGGCCTTGCTGTCCGTGGACTACGAGGTGTTCGGCAAAGTGCAGGGCGTGTTCTTCCGCAAGTACACACAGGTGCGTGCCGCGGGACCGCCTGCCGGCCTGCGCCGTGCCCGCTGACAGCCCGGCCTGCGGGGGGATTGAGCCGTGGCCGCGTCCCCGGGCCGGGCCCCGGCCTCTGCCGCAGTGGGGCCGGCACCGCGTTGCTGCTGGCAGCCCGGCCGGGTTATGTAAGAGTGGCTGAAGAGCGCATCTTAGCCCCAGTTTTTCTCTTGAAAGAATATACTGAGTAGTCGGGCAAATCCTCTGCTCCCTTCCTGCTGCCTGAGCCACAGAAACTTCCTTGGAGGCCTGTGCGTCACCAACACAGTTTGCTCCTGTGTGTGAATGTCGTTCTGTTGCTTTCCTACAGTTTGGATTAACCTAATTTTACTCTACATTGTCTTCTCAGGGGGAGGCTAAGAGACTAGGACTCGTTGGCTGGGTCCAAAATACCAGCCATGGCACTGTGCAAGGGCAAATCCAGGGCCCAACTGCCAGGGTGCAGGAGCTGCAGGAATGGCTCAGGAAGATAGGAAGTCCCCAGTCCCGCATCAGCCGAGCAGAGTTCAGCAATGAGAAGAAGATTGAGGCTCTGGAGCACAAGGATTTCCAGATTTTGAAGTGACTTTGTCCAGAAAGAAGCGAAATCTGAAGCTGGAGCTACCCTCATGGAACATTTCCCCTCTTCCTCACTCGTTTAGTCAGGCAATATTCAGCTCTAGAGTTTTATTTTGCTACATTTCTAATTTATTGTTTTGTTGCGCTGTTAGTCTGACGCTCAGCCTTTCACAGAATTCTGGTGGGTAGAGGAAGAGCTGTGCTGTCTTTGTTAAAGGGACTGCTCAGAGGCCGAGCCTCTGTTTCTGAGTGACGCAGTTTGGGGGGTCATACGTGAGTGGAATCTGTGATGTGTAGAGTGTGGCACTCACGGAGAGTCACAGGATCAACGCTGACACGGAAGATTGCTAAAAACATTGTGTCTGTGCACTAAATGCCTCAGAAACAACTTACTTTGTTCCGGAACTTCGCGTTTTCTGTAGAATAAAGTTGCTTGCAGCTCGCCTCCTGTGTGGAATGGGCGTGTGGATGGGGAGCCGGAGTGGGTGGCAGCCCTCGGAGCGGGCTCTCGTTGCAGATACCCGCCCTAGTGGGGGAGCGGGGTTGTGCCGAGCAGCCTGCCGGTGCCGCTCTGCGGGAATGGCCCGGGAGCAGGCGTGTTCCCAGCAGCGGTGCCGATCTCCCGGCCGGGGCGAGAACTACAACTCCCGGCGTGCCCCTGTCCCAGCCCCCGTTCGCTCGCGGGTGCGCACGCGCCGGCGCCGTGCGCGAGGCGCCGCACGCAGGCCCCGTGGGCCGGCACGGTTAGTCTCGCGCCGCGGCGGTTGCGGGGCCGGCCCGGAACGGCGGGTGCTGAGGGAGCGGCAGCACAGGGGGCTTCGGCCCTGAGGGGAGCGCGCCCTCCTCAGCCCTCGGGGCCAGGGAGCCTCTGGAGACCTGTCACGGCGGCGGAACCGGATCCACAGGCAGGGCGAAGGCCACTAGTAAAGCAGTAGGCGTCAAGGACTGGGAAATAGTGGGTTCCCTTTTGTATTAACAGCTCGCTCGCTGCCTGACACCGTTCCCGAGCCTGCTTTACTCCTTTCCTGGACAAGTAGCAGCAGATGCTTTTTGACCCGGATGAGGCACTGTGAATTTATGTGGGGAGATTGAAATAAAAACTAGAGGAAAGCAGCTCTACCCAGTTCTTGGTGATATTTATGCGATAATTCTGATGAAAATTACAGTAGAAGACTTTTGCTTGCAGGTCCTTTGGGTTTTTCCTCATACGGTAGGAGTTTGGTTTGAGTAGGTTAAGTTTCAGAACCAAGTATGATGTTAGTGATAAACTTAGATTCTGGCTCTGCCCATCTTCCCTGAGGGCATTGACAGAGCCTGAGCAGGAAGGTAATCGGAGAAGAAGCGTCTGAATGTCAGGATAACTAAGAAAAGTGTATTTATGAGACTGAATACAAAAAAAGGAAAGTTTTTTCAGGCCTTTAATTTGTATTTCCTTAATTTTTTTTTTTTTCCCCTTTTCTCTCCACCTAGGGCGTTGTTTTAAGGAACATGGAGCAGTGAGCTCCCTGCGGTTTCTTGTGTTTCTCATCTATCAGATTTTGACATGATCAAACCTTTGGTGGAAGATGTGCGAGCCAGGCTGCGTTCTGGAGTGACTGTCAGCTCCCTCGGCCAGTGTGTTGAGGAGCTTGTCCTCAACAGCATTGATGCCAAAGCAACGTGTGTAGCTATCAGGGTGGATTTGGAAGCTTTTAAGATCCAGGTGGTGGACAATGGCTCTGGGATGGGGAAAGAGGACTTAAAGGCTATCGGAAAGAGGTACTTCACCAGCAAGTGCAGCTCAGTGGGAGACTTGGAGAAACTGACATTCTATGGCTTCAGAGGGGAGGCTGTGGCAAGTATAGCCAACGTGGCCAGTGTAGTGGAAATTTCATCTAAGACAAGCAGGACAGCCAAAACTTTTGTGAAACTATTTCACAATGGGCAAGCACTGGAAGTATGCGAAGCTGAATTGAACAGACCAAGTGGCGGAACTACAGTCACTGTGTGCAATCTGTTCTATCAGTTACCGGTGAGGAGAAAGTGTATGGATCCTGTGTTGGAATTTGAAAGAGTGAGACAGAAGGTAGAGGCTGTTTCACTAATGCATCCTTCTGTCTCCCTTTCTTTAAGGAACGATGTTTCTTGTTCTATGGTGCTTCAGCTCCCTAAGACAAGAGATGTATACTCTCGTTTTTGTCAAATTTATGGACTGGGCAGATCCCAGAAGTTGCGAGAAATAAATCACAAATCTGGGGGATTTGAGATAAGTGGTTTTATCAGTACTGAGGGACATTACAATAAGAATATGCAGTTCTTGTATGTGAATAGAAGGCTTGTTTTAAAGACAAGAATACATAAACTAATTGATTTTTTATTAAGAAAAGAAAGTGTAATTTGCAAAGCAAAAGGTGGCCCTGTGAGCCGGCAGGCTGGTTCAAGTCCTGGCCGCCATCGCTGTGGGCCAGATTTGTACGGGATCTTTATTCTCAATGTGACCTGTGCATACAGTGACTACGACGTGTGCCTGGAACCTGCAAAGACTCTAATTGAGTTCCAGAACTGGGATGTTCTTCTAACTTGCGTAGAGGAAGGAGTGAAAATATTTTTGAAACGAGAACGTTTATTTATTGAACCGTGTAGTGAGGACATCAGAGAATTTAATGAAGATAATGACTTTTGTTTGCACAGTGCTCCAGTTCTGAAGGCCTCAATCCTTGACAAGAAGAGCATCCAAGAAAGTTTCAAGAAAGCATGTGATGAAATTGTGGATTCCTATGAAATGTGTACCTTGCAATCGAAACATGTCAAAAGGAAGTCCATTACTGGAAAAAAAAAATCCAGTCTTACAGAGTCAAGTAAAAATGTACAGGAAACTGAAATCGCCCCAAACCAGAAGACTGCCGAGTTATCTAATCCATTTAGCAACAATAAAGCAGAGATTCCATTGCCCGATGAAGATGGCACAGCTTCTGATTTCATTAAATCAAATACCTCAGAACAGGAGCCAAAATACATTAAGAGTTCCAAAAAAGCATCTGATACTCATCTGAAACCTTCAGAAAGTCTTCGTTCCTCTTTCAGTGGAGGGCCCAGATCAGAAGTAAGAGCAATAGACAATTGTGGTGACCTGCAGGACTGTGCTCAGAATAACATAAAATATGTGGGCAGCCACCAAGGCAGAGTAACACAGAAAAGCAATAACGTCTGTATTTTAAATAAGGATGTTACTCAGTCACTGCCCGAGAGAGAAGACTCTACTGAAACAGCAGTGGGACCTGAAACTGTCTCTGGAAGTTCACTGATGAGACACTGTAATGCAAGAAGAGACAGGGAAACAGCTGAAGTGATAGATGATGCCAGAAGAAGGTGTGTTAGTTCAATACCATCCAAGCTGTGCTCTACAAGCCTCATAAGATGCGTTAAGCAAAGTGAGCCCCCACATGACTCTGAACAAACAGAAGCAAATCTTGAATTAAATCTGCAGTGTAAGCCTGGCTCTGTCAGTGCCAAGGATATTTTTGGCCACAAATTGAATTTTGCTATTCAGTCTTTAAATCATAAGGGTATTTCCAGTAATACAAATAAAGAGTATGCAGCTTCTTATACCAGAAAAGCATACATGACTGATGGTAATAAGAACAAAACTTTGCCTGGTCAGGTGAGGGAGGAAATAGCCATGCCTACTGCCACCAGTAAAAGATGTTATGAAACATTGAATGATACAGAATTGCCACTGCCAACTTCCTCAGGTATTCCTCACAAGAAAATTGTTATAAAAAGAACTAGAAGGCAAATAACTGTGCCAAGACCTCAGTCTTCTAAGAAACTGAGCATGTCCCTGCAGTTGGGTTCGTTAGAAAAGTTCAGGAGATATTATGGGACAGTCAAGTCTACGCTACCAGCACCCATATCAGAGCGAAGTGAATTAGATCTCCCGGTTCTTAATTCACAAACTAACTGTGACTTTTCAAAGAATGACTGTGTCAATCATGGGAACTTGAGCTCTTGTGAAATTCCACCTGTGGAAGGTACAGATTCTAATAATACTAACCAAGCTTTTGGTTCTTTGGAAAAGACTTCATTTTGCAGTGGAGAAACATCACAGGACAAACGAGCCCTTTGTCAGAGTCCTTTGACATTGTCTGATTATGCCCTGGTTAGTGAAAAGAAATCAAGTTGTAAAAGATCTCCAGGATCTTTATCATCCAAACTGTCTAGAATGAAAACTGACCACAGAGAAGTAGAACAACATGGTGAACAATTCCAAACAGACTCAAATAGGAAAGATGACCAGACTTTTGATCTTGAATCCTCAAATAATGATTTTTTATATGACACTTGTCAAACTTATAAATCCTCAGTAGAAAAAGTGAGAGAACATAATGACAGTGTTTCCAAGGGGATTGCATGCTCGCAATCAGATGATGTGGTAGCAGAGTCTGTGGAGAGTTCTGTCAGCCCGTCACCACTCAGCAGCGTAGAAGGGGAGTACACAGTCTCTTCAGGCAGTATTTTGTCACTGCCTGATAAAAATGATTGTACTAGCATGAGCTGTAAAGATAAAAGTATGTTAGATGAATCCTCACCACAAGATAAGAAAGATACTGAGGTTCCCCATGGGACCTTGCAAAGTAACTTGGAATTCTCTGCAGACAACACAAGCACAGGCAATCCCAGGAGTGACTTGTGTTGTTCTGTCTGGCTGCAAGATTTTGATGCTGCTTCGGGTAAGACAATATACATCAATAAAGCAACTGGACTGAGCACCTACGGCACTCCTCCTAGTGAAAGATTTCAAGCTGCTTGTGTCCAAGATATCACAACAATGGCTGTGAATGTTGTTTCAGAGAATGGTAAGAGGGATGGTGGTGGTTGTAAAAATGGGGTGAGGAAAAGTATGTAAAATAATCTTGCTGACAGCACCTAGGAGTTTATTCTGAAATAGGTACTGCCTTACATGTAATAGCTGTATGGAAAACAGGAAAGTGTTGGGAACTATGGAGACAGTAAAATATTAATGTTAGAGATATAAAAGATAATTTTTAATACATGGTAACAAGAAATGTCAGCATCATGGCAGTTAATGAACAGCTGCCTAGTTATCACTGGGCATCATGACATGATCACAGTTACATGTAATTGTTGTCATATATAATATGAGAAACATACTTCAAAGTAAGTGTACCATAAAAATACCGTGATTTTTACTGTTTTGCCCTAAACGGTTATGTTTCTAAGAATATGTTGTTACAGAGAGACTCATATTAAAATGATCTTTTTTCAACTTGCATATAAAATTTAAAGTAACCCTTGAAAGATGAACAAAAATCTAACTTCATTGCGAATATGTAGTCTCCTTTCCATGGAATTTGGAAGGCAGGCTGTCCCTTTACAATATTAGCAGGTGTTGTACAGCATTGCTAGTAGCTTTTCGACTAGGGAAAGGACCCTGCTTTGTATTG